TATATATATATATATATACACACGCGATATAAAAAATGTATTCTATATTTGAAGTAAAAACTTTTTTAAACGATTATTGCCATTTCAGCGCTCAATCAAAACAGCAGATTCTCGAATCAGCTGTTCGACAATCAATTTAATCGTGGTCTGCAACAATTTTCGCCGAAACGTGGTCAATCCGCGTCATGTCCGGAGAAAAATGGTCGTTTTCCGGTACAGAATCAGTGCGACGCTTACATCGAGTGCATCGATGGGATAGCCGAGGAAAAGTTATGTCCCGAAGGTTTATTCTTTAATCCTGAAGCTCGCTTCAATTATCCCTGCGGATATCCGATCGACATAGACTGCACAGGCAGACCGAATTTGCGTGAGTTCCTCGCAATACTTTGTTCTTACGAATTTTTATCAAAAATATTCTAACATATAAAATTTTAACGAAAGAGACCTTAAATAGTTAGATTTCACGTTTTATGTATCTACAATCGTTGAAGATCCAACAAAAAAAATTTCTAACAAATTAAACTAATTGCACACGGAAGAAAAAGATTTGTTAAAATAAATTAAAAACTTTATTGATTCAGCAAATCTAGTATAATATAGGACAGCCAGTTTTCTATGATAAAAGTAGCAAAGTTGGACAGCTGAATAAAATTTGTGATTATAGGCAATCATATATTTATTATTATATAATAGCATAGTAAAAACTTTCTATGAAAATCAATATACAGTCCAATATAAGGTCAAAATATTTAACTAAACATGCTAGCTAAGATCGCGCGTACTTTTGCTGCTGTAATGAAGAAAATAATTGTTACATTTTTATTGTAGCAAAGAATTAGCTGAATTGACATACTGATAATTGCTTACAGATTTGATTTCTTCATTGAACCATCAAATTTACTTAATTATAAATGTAATTGAACTCGTGCAGCAAGCTATAGCTTTGCTGAATTATCCAATCTATTTTTTCCATGTATCAAGACACAATTGAGTGATAAAATAATTCGTGAAATTTTCTTTAGAGCCGGCAAACCCGTCCAACGATTGTCCTCATCAATATGGCTACTTCAAGATCGGCGATCATCAGCACTGCGGGCAATTTATGAACTGTGTGGATGGCAGAGGTTACGTGTTTGACTGTCCGGAGGGTCTGGCCTTCAATCCGCAGACCTATCGATGCGACTGGCCGGATCAAGTGCCGGACTGTGATGCAGAGACTTTCCTTGGCTTCCGTTGTCCGGAGGTGAGGAACGATTTCTTCTTGGACGCCGAGATTAAATTTTATCGTAGTCCTGCTGATTGCCATCATTATTATATTTGCGTAAACGGCCGTCCGAGACTGCAAAATTGCGGCATTGGAAATGCTTTTAACGAGCTCATCGACACTTGCGATGCTGCGGAAAATGTCACCGGCTGGTGAGTAACATTTAAAAACGTCTTTACTATAAGATGCACTTTATCTTTACTCAGATTTATTATGTAAATAATAGATATTTATAAACTTATTTATTTATATGCTTTAATAAGTATTTAAAAAATATTAAAATAAAAACTATGAAAAATGTAAAGTATAATCTACTTTTTAATTATATACAATAGAATGAGCCAATTTATTGTCACGTGCACTCTAAAATTCTTATCTTTTTTTTTATGTCATCTTGATTATATTAAATAGAGAATTATTTAAATTTTATGTACTTTTTTCACAGCGAACACGAATCAATAGCGAGAACCACCACTCCATCTTACCAACGGGCTAGACTGTTTTAAATTTTGATAGATTTGAAGAATGGAAATAAAAATTGACGGCACAGTAATTGCGAAATAACAGAGAATTTCAAATATTTCGAGATATGTAGTATGATTTATTTTCGATATGATAAAGTACCACGCAAATAATAATCCGTATAATGATTTAAAACTGTTATGTTGTGATTAATGAGAATAAAATACAAATCCAATTGCCATGCCGTGCGCTGATGCCATAAATAATGTATATACTATCGCTTAAGTTGCTTTTTAAGAATATGTATTTAATATAAAATTGTGTAGAAAACTTTTAATAAATAAAAATGTAAAAATAAATGCCCATTTCCTAGTGGACACCCTATTCGATTGTTTTTTTTTGTAATTAAAGTTCAAGATTACAAACTAGCATAGTTTTATGGCATTGAACTCTGCAATTGACAACTTACTCTAGTAAACTTTATCCAATAATATGATTTTATTAAAGGTTTTCTTAATAGTGAATTTCTGTTTTTTATATAAATAATACAAACAATGTAAAATATGTAAATTATTATTAATTAAACAACACAATACAAACAAAAGTAATTAAGTTTTATTTGATTGTTAATATATCTGATCTTAATATTGATAAAGCAAGATAGACTTTAATATTGATGTAAACAAGATAAAAGCTTTAATACAGTTTAATGAACAATAGCAGTTTAAAGAACATAAGCTTCGATGATCTAAAGATTATTTACATACATAGCATGTAAAGCATAATTTACATAATTTACGTTGTGTATACACATAGATTATTATATTTTATGCGTAAACGTACACCTTGATTTCTCCTCTTAAGAAAGAAAAGTAATATTAGAAAAAAAATTACATGGAAAATTAATTTCAATTAATTAAATAAAATTGTGTTTTTAATAAAATACTCGATAAAAAATACAAATTAAGAAAAAAGCATAGTTTACGTTAGTTTCAAATGTACACGTAAAAATAAGGATAAGCGCAAGGAATTTTAAAAAAACAGAATAAATTCACGTGTGCATATAGAATATACAATTATTATTGACATGGTACAGATACTTAAAAAATATATAATAGATACAAATTTGACGTGCGTGTGTGTGTACGTTGTTGAAACGTATAGGCGCAACGTAAATACACACGCGGTAATTATTAACGAGTTACACGCACATCTAGCGGCACGTACGAATTTTCTAGATTCTATCTAAACTAAATCGCTAGAAAGATGTTTCGGAGTAAGTTCGCAAAAATATATATCTACACTCTATCTACGGCTGACTCAAAGGCGCACTCGTGTTTCCGCTCATAATTAAAGCGCGCTAATTAGTAGTAGGAAATTAAGAGCATTTACGAGAGGTAACGCGAATCATACGACCGGCATTACATTACGGGTGTGCCACTGTCGTGCCGATAGCAGAATGCGTATAATTGAATATACGAAACGAATTATGCAAACTATAAGCCATCAGAACAGAAAAATGATCTCTCTTCTCTCGGCTTTCTCACATGTCGTTGTAACGCATCCATTAAATCGACTATATGTTTTGCACGTTACTTCGAGATATCTACATTTTATCGAGCTACCTTCGTATCTAGATATTTGAGCAATGACGTTTCATCTAATTGCACTTTTTGATATCATAATGAATTCATTCCACGAATGTATTAAACAATTCGATCATCTATATCTGCATGCGATTTAGTTCAATATATTCCAATATATATATGACAATTAAAATTATTTAAATCTGTAAACAATAGGTTCAAAAAATGCTTTATCAAAAACATTTTGTACGAAATTCTGGAAAGATTCTTCTATTGAAAATATTTTTAGATGTACTACACTGACGTAAGTGCAAGCATAGTCGCAAGTATTTTATTAAGATAGATTCGTCCTCATCTTAACAAAATTATTAGTTCGACATACAATATATACATGACAATTAAAATTATTTAAATTTGTAAAAAAATATAGTTCCGAAAAATGTGTGCTTTATCAATATTTTATACGAAATTCTGCGAAGATTCTCCTTAATATTTTTAAATATACTGCATTGTGAATACAGTGCATAGTCGCAAATATTTTATCAAAAATATATTCGACTTTATCTCGATAAAATTATTTATACGGCCAAAAAGACGGCTGCTAATTCGTTATCGCGCCGCGTACGAGCAAGATGCCAAGAGCACGGATAAACCGTAGGGCGTAGTTTCTTCGGCAATATTCGGCAACGTTCAGAAATTCGCGTTTCGCGCATCTAGATCATTCGCTCGACAAATGATTGCGATATAAATCGCTTCATAATTAAGTGACAATCTTCTCGCTTAATGTCTCTCACGCCAACACGTCTCGAGGACACAACGTAGGAACCGACTTCTTCGCTTTCTTACTTAACGCTAACGATAAGTGCGACTTTTTTTTCATACGAGACCACGCCAACAATGTTTCCTCGCTTCCCTCTCTGATCCAATCGATGATTGCGAGTCGGTCGGAACGCATTAACTTTAATAAGTGTGAATCCAGCGCGAAGCGCTATGGCAATGGACTGAGGAGAATGAGGGAGCCCTCTTCTTCGGGTATTCTTACGTATTGCGTGTTAAAAAAAAAAAAAGAAAGAAGGAAAATATAAATACACTAAAGAGTTCTAAAGGATTCACGAATTACCAAAATCAACGGAATCGAGGAAACATGTGATTCGAAGAAAATGAAACGGTGGAGCGTCCCTTATTTCTTCCCGTGAACGTTCTCACCAGGAGCGATTTCGGCACTTTCGGTTATGCACTTCGTGACGGCAACTCTGCGTCACTTCGTCAAACGCCGTGCCCTCTTCGCACACAAATCGGAAGTCCAGCACCTGCCGCGACGTGAAACCGGGCGAGCAATAGTGGAACAATCGACAGTCCCTGAAGTCGCCGTAGAAGCGATACATTTCTTTCTCTAGACAATTAAAGCTCGCGTGCTTTCGCGGTTTCACGAGTTTCCGGCTGCTTGATTTGAGGATCGCAGCTTCCATCGACGCACCGGGATCGGAATCCTCCGCCTTAGGCAAGACAGTCGTCAAGACTGAAACCGACGTGGCGCGTTCGGGAACTGGAGGAACCGAAGAAACCAAAGAGATTTCCTGCTGATAGACTTTGGAAGTGGAAGCTGTAGTGGTCTCCGTTATTTCAAGGTACTTCTCAGTACTCGGCACGATCTCAGCATACTCGGACTTTTCGGACAGCAACGTTGTCGGTGGAATAGTCGTTGGAACGAGAGTATCAATGTCCTCTGTCGTTTCTTGTGATTCTATTTCCTTCGTTGTCCGCTCGATGGAAGGCGCGAGAGTGGATAATTTCAATAGAGGATAAGGAGTAAAAGTTTCAATTTTCGTGGTTGTCGTTTCCGGATTAGTGTTTTCTGAAGAGTTGGCCGAAGTATTTTGCTCGGACGAGCTCGGAAGTTGATTGTCCTTGTTCGTTTGATTATTCTTTGCGAGAGAATCGAGGGATATATGATCGTTTGTTTCCACTTTGCTCTCGAGACCGTTCTCCTCGCTTCTGCTAGATTCCGTCGTTGTCGTCATCGCTATCACCGTTGTCGTTGCTGCCGTTGCCGTCGTTGTC